AATATTAGGTGTGTCCGGCGCGCTCATATGACCTTATGCAGTTGCGAGCGCCGTAAAACACTTTACAAAACCAAACAAAAACAATGAGATTGCGGGTTCGGGGGTTCGAGCCTCAGCTCGGTCCGACATTGTGTCCTTGGGAAAGGCACTTTACACGAATTTCCCACTTGGCCGGGTCCTTTCGGAGATGGACATTAAATTCTGAGGTACTACCTCTTAAATTAATAACCTAACAGCCGCGATAGGGACGTTGAACCTAAACAATTTCATCACCATTTTAAAAAAATTGATAAAGGGATTCTATTCGCAGTGTACAAAATCATGCTGTTTTCTTCTTCAGGTGTGAGGTCTGGAGCAGACATTGACGATCATGGTACCCCATTCCTTCCTGTTGTCAGTCTTCTTTGATCAACTCTGTTCTTCTCTTAAAGAAGTCTTTTTCTTCTTCTTCTTCTCCTTCTCCTTCTCCTTCTCCTTCTCCTTCTCCTTCTCCTTCTCCTTCTTTTTGTGATATTCGTTGCAATGTTTTATAGGCATATGTGTATGTTGTTCTTTGTCTTCCACAGCAAATTTCTCTGTTATCCTTATTCAAACTGAAGACATTCAACACATTATTGAACAAATAAACGGTAATACCTCTCTTAATTAATCAAATAATCCCGAAAAATAATAAGTATTATCTCTAATTAAAATGTGTTTTGAAAAAGGCGTAAAGAGGGCCGTATCACACTATAAAAACACAGAACTCCACCTGTCTAATCTGAGTTAAAAATGCTGTAAAAGAGAGCCACTACTCATCGTGTTCTGGTGTTGACAAAATACATAAAAGAGAATCCCTACTCATTGTGTTTTGTTTGTTTTTTGTTTTTGTAAAGTGTTTTACGGCTCTCGCAACTGCATAAGGTCATAATATGAGCGCGCGGGACACACCTGATATTATCAGTTGGTAGGAAATTTAGAATTTTGCCCGGGTGGCGGCCGAAGCCTACTCTTATTATCGATTTTAGACCACCAAGGGATCTTTAAAACGATTTTTCGCCCTTGTCCGAGAAGGCTAGGTGTAGATCTTTTCTACTAGAAGATCAGGGGTGTGACTGAAAGACTGCAGTAAGAAGAAGCGAA